ATCCACTGGAGACTCAGGCCTGGAGTGCCTGTCCAGCACCAGCCCACCCTTGACCTTCTGCTCACTCATTCACTCATCAAAAATTTTCTTTTGTTTTGAGACAGGGTCTCACATACTCCAGGCTGACCTCAAGCTCAGTATGTATTAATAGCTGAGGATGATCTATCTCCGCCTTCCAAGTGCTGGGATTAGAGGGGTGTTGCCACCAAATTTGGCTTTATGTAGGGCTGGGGATTGAATCTAGGGCTTTGCACATTCCACGGAAGCACTTTACCAATTAAGCTACGTCCCTAACCCATTTGTCCAATGTTTATTGAGCATTTGCTACATGCCAGACACTTTCCCCTGGTAGGGATACACAGTGAACACAACCACCCTCACCCCGACCCCCACTCCCATCTGCATGGAGCATCCCTCCAGCAAGGGGGCAGGCTGACAATCCACACTATAACTGGTGACAAGAAAAAAAAATCCCAGCAGAGTGAGGAGATTGGATGGAGAGAGAGTGGGGAGAGAGTCTGGTTAGAGTGGAAGGGAAGGCATGATCTTGAGGTAGAGTCCTCAAGGAAAAGAGAAGGGACGATGTGGGTATCTGGTAAAAAAAACTTGCTGGCCTGCCAGGCCCAGCCAGGAGCAAGGACAAAGGCTCTGACCTCTGTTCTCACCAGCATCTCCTTTCCAGGAACTCCCTCCATCCCATCCTAGAATCTCCCCTTCCCCAAGTCTTCTCCCCTCTGCTCACCTCTTCCTTATTCTAGTCTTATAAGGATTCCAGGCTTTGGGGTCTTGGAGTTTTCTAGACTGTACCTACTTATTAGTCCTGGCCTTTTGAACCCATAGCCCATCTCCATTGTTCCTGACAACCTCTTTCCCAGGGAAATGCCTGAGGTCTGATTTCCCTCCCAGCTTCTTCCACATGGTTTCTTTTCTGACAGGCATGGATTTGGCTTAGAGGCAATGATTCTTCACAACCCTGTCAAACTTAGAGTACCCAAATGAATGCCCAGAGAATAAGATGTTGGCCTAATTATCCTGTTAGCATGAATGACTTCCTCCTCCTAGATTCACTGAAGTGCCACCTGCAGGCGATTTTACCTGGACTTTCTCATATGGGTCCTTTGTACCTGTTCCGGGCTGTTGTGGTGGTGGCCAGCACAGGACCAGTGAGGGGCAGGGAAGATGGTATCACCTAGTTGAGAAGTGATTCAGAAATCACAGGGCAGAGCTCTCAGGCTACACACAGTCAATTCCTAAGAGATGCTGGGTTAGGCTGACTATGCTTATCGGACTCTGCTCCCAACCCCTATACCCACAAATTTTGTCACTCAAGCAAATGATGTGGAAAATGCTCTGGTTTGTGACAGCTCCAGGGAGGGTGGACACCTGGATTGGAGTTATGTGTTAGTCTACTTTTGTTTACTATAATGAAATACCTGAGACAAGTGACTTTTATTTATTTTTATGTGTATGAGTGTATTGCCTGCACGTATGTGAGTGCACCCGTGTCGTGCAATGCCGCAGAGGTCAGAAGAGGGCTTCGGATGCCCCTGGAACTGGCGTTAAAGATGGTTCGTAGCCGCCATGTGGGTGCTGGGAATCAAACCCGGGTCCTCTGCAAGAGCAGTCAGTGCTCTTAACCTCTGACAAGTGAATTTTATAAAGCAAAAGATTTATTTACCTCGTGATTCTAAAGATTCAAGAGCAGGGGGCAGGTATCTACTTAGCTCTGGTGAAGACTGCATGGGATGTGGTGGGAGCACATGGAGTGGGAAAAGTTTCATGTACTAACAGGAAGCCAGGGACTGATTCAGGAGATGGGCTCACTCTTAAAACAACTCACTTTGTAAGAGTTTAGGGCCCATCCAGAGAGCTGCATTACCCTTCCAAGGGCAGCTTCCCCAGTGACCCAAGATCCTTCCACCACACCTCACCTCTTAAAGGTGCCTCCACCTCTCAGCACCTTCACCCTAGGGACCAAGTTCCCCACACATGAACATGGGGATACACTCAAACCATGGCCAAACTAAAGCAAGTCACATGTATTTGTTTTGGTAAAGCTGATTCTAGACTGTGGTATAGAGAGGCACAGCCCACATCTATTCAGCTTGACCAGTGGGTTCTAACCAATGTAATCCCCAGGTAGGCATTATAGGTGATAGAAGAAGACAAGGGGAGGTTAACTGCCACTGCCTGGCACCTCCCGCCTCAGTTTATCAGAAAGAAAGGCAAGGAAACATAGACTAACGCCACGTATACACATACATGTCAGGTAATATTATAACATTGTTTTCCATATGTGCCACCGCACAGGGAAACAGCTAGTATTGTGGGTCATGATAGAATATGCGAACCTCAGAAAAACTATGAGCTTCATTAGAGGAAGCCATAAAGGCATAGAACCATCAGAGTGGCCGAAAGCTCTAAATTCTAAAAGTACAAAGTTTCCCCAGTGACCTAACAGTTATAAAGACCTGACTCTGCTCATCCCTTATCAGTTGGTCACTCCCAAGCCTGAGAAGAAATGTTTATGGAGCCCACCTGTCTCCTCTAAGGCCATAGATAACATTCCTGCCAGTCCCTGGGTAAATAGCCTTGAGGAGACCTTTAAGCCTGGGCACTAACTCGACTCCCCACTAAGTGTAGTTGTATCCCACAACCCTGTTATAACTACTAAGTGTAGTTGTATCCCATAACCCTGTTTCTTTGTCTAGTTGTAGATGCTTGGTTCCCGTGGACAGCCTCTACCTCTCACTGTATCTTCTTTGACTAAAGGAAAATATAGTCCTTGCCTGTTGCAGGTCTGGCTCTGGTTTCTAGTCTCCGACTCATCTATCTTTCCTTTTATTTTCCAAAAATCTAACAGGTCACAAAAGCGCTATCAATTGAATAAGGCTTCTTGGTGACCTTTGGCCTGAGGAGAATGCATAGGATTTGCCTCCTGGGCCTGAAGGGGGAGAATATTCCAGGCAAAAACATTTAGGCAAACACCTTTCCACTGGAGTTTGGAGAGACACACATACACACGGGGAGAGAGAGAGAGAGAGAGAGAGAGAGAGAGAGAGAGAGAGAGAGAGAGAGAGAGAGAAAGAGAGAGGAGAGGATTTGCCACAGCTCCTGAGGAGACTCCCCCTCCCTTTCCTCTGGCATTTAGTTTCCCTGTTGGCCTTGGGCTGTTCTTAATATCTGAGCCACATCTGCTCAATCTCCATCCCCTCAGAAGGCCTTGGGTTGCCTGAAAGTTGTGCTGGTCACCTCAGAAAGCATCTTCTGATCTCTTTCCACACAGCTCTTTTGGAGGTTGTTTCCTCTCCAGAAAATGGAGGGCCCAGTGTCTACTCTTCATTAGCCCCAGGCCATGAGACAGGAGCCTACAGGTGGTGGCTCTGGAAAGCTGGAGGAGGTGCACAGGGAGGGAGGGGCTCAGTGGTGGCATCTTCTTGGGCCTGGTGGTAGACTATACTGCCAGAACGACAGCTCCATTTTCTGATGCAGTAGGTGGAGGTCCAACACCCCTACTGCCCCTGGAGTGACTTTCCTTGACCAACTCTCCCCAGTGCTGGCAGTGTGGTCCACTTTGGACCCACAGTGTCATTCCTAAAATGCAGGCCATGCTTCTACTTTAAAGCCCTGACTGGGTGCCCACCTCACCAGGGAGAAACCCACAATCTCTCTGATCATCCACAAGGCACATGAACTTCAACTCCTACCCTCTCCTTTCTGAGCTCATCTCCTGCTTAGCTCCCTTCCTTCACTCCACTCTGGCCTTTCCTGGCCAACAAAATATGGTAACCCCAGGGCCTTTGCCCTTGACATTACCTCTGCCCGGAATGCCTCCCACCCCCCCAACCCCCACTCTGCCACAGATACTCTCACTGCTCTCTACCATCTTTAAGGCTGTCAAATGTCACTTCAGCAACACTATCCTTAACTATCCCATTTAAAATCCTCTCCACCCCTCCCTCCGTGTTTCTCACTGGATTCTGCTGTTTCTTCGGCCACTTTTTAACCTCCTAATTTGCTATTTAATTGGTTCACTTACATTTCTGGAATGTAAGTTCCAGCAGGGCAGGGATGTTGTCATTTTAGTTCCCTTTCCAGAACCCTGAAACCGTGTTGGTGGTCGCTGTACAGCTGCACAGGTGGAATAACGCACAGCTGAGACCCCTGCCCGGACTCTGTTACAGGGTCAAGATAAAGGCCCTTCTGGTGACCTGGCATTCTTCTCAGAGGGCAAGGGAGCTGGGCAAGGCTTGACCGCTCTCCTCCCTGACACACTTTAGCAGACATCTTTTTTTCTTTTCTTTTTTTTTGGTCTTTTTGAGACAGGGTCTCCCTGTAGTCCCAGCTGTCCTGGAACTCACTATGTAGACCAGGCTGGCCTTGAATTCACAGAGATCCGCCTGCTTCTGCCTCCCGAGTGCTGGGATTAAAGGCCTGCGCCACCATGCCCAGGGCAGACATTTCTAAAGCCTCTAGTAGGTGCTGGGGGTGGATGAGACACCACCTTTTCTGGGGAGGGAGACAAGCGCTGCCTGGGGCGGGGGCGGGGGGGGGCTTGAGGAGGGGAGCAGAGGGGAGGGAGGGGGGAGGCTGCGGTAGGGGCAGAGAGGAGCCTGAGGAGGGGCAGAGGGGAGTGAGTCTCATGGGGACAGGCCAGCAGAGGCCACCTCGGATGGACCGGTGCGCTGAGGCAGGCCTACCCCTCGCCCCTCACACTAGGCCCCCCTAGTGTTCTCAGGGCCTAGGCCCCTGCTCGACCCCCCCCGCCCCAGACTCCCTCCCTTTCCGCCTGCCCAGGGCTCCTCTCGGCCGGGCCCAGCGCGGCCCCGGCCCACTGCCGCTCCGGCCCTGGCCGGCAGGGGCCGCTC